AGACACATACGCAATAGTATTTGTCATTGGACACGTGTACTGTCCACAATCCAGCATGTTGCCGCACACACCCATTCAAACACGCAACGTGTCGTGTGGCTGAACACGCCAGCGCGACTTTAAGCGCACGCACGTTGCTGCTTACCATCCGACTCTGACATCACTGCAGCTGTTGGAGAAACAAACACTGTTGTGCTGCCGACCACACGCTACACCTACTGGCTGTTTGTTCTGGTGCACCCGAGGGTTGTTTGTTTGTCCCTACTGTGCTTTTTGAATCCTTGCGTTTCCATCAGTCGCTTCCAGTTTAGTTTTCCTTCTTGACGGGCTCCTTGAAACTGATTAACATCTGCTGGAACCCTACTTGAATGCATCACATCTGTCCCCTTCAGTGCAGAGAGCTGCGGTATGAAGCGCTCGCTGGTGACACTTTGCTCTGTTTGACCCAAGAGGGCGTGACGGGAGGCTACAAGTCCAGCGTACAAACACACTAGTGATGAATAGTGTGAACTCTCATCACAGATATTAATGCTTTTTTGTTAACAAAAGACAAAATATGTTTTTCAATGCTTCTTGTAATAGACCCAAGAAGGATGCTGCCAGGCTATTCATATTTATATTAATTTTTAGTTTATTTAACACCGTTTGCAGTCCTTTTGACTGGTTATGAATTGTCCCAACATGCAAATCTTGCTGGAATGTTTCTGTTAGATTGTATTTATTTGTTGGAATAAGGTATATTAAGGCTACATTTGAACTACTCCATTTTTATGTTGCTGTGTTGATGCCTGCTGTTGTGTTGCGCTGGGTGTTTTTTCTCTTTAGTCGGAGTGTGAAAGTGGGGAAACACAACGTTTTCTTCCCAGATTTGTCACGCCACCGAAATAAAACAAACAGCCGTCTGTTAATTTGTGCATTTCATAATGCTTCTCCTGCCTGCATGCGGAGGAAGCAAACTTATTATTGGGGACCGAACAACAGTGCGTGCGTGTCTAGAGGCACGATCTGCCCTACGGGCGGGCGTTTGAAGTCATGGTTGGTGCCTTTGATGCACAACTATTGTAAAGTTCACCAAACTATAAATGGACAAAAGCTTAAATGCAAACAGCGAAACGGAGAGGAAACCAGTGAGAGACGTGTGGCGACCACATTCATTGACCTAAAATAATGATGTCCCTAATATGTGTGCTGTCATTTTAAAGTACATGTATTGTTTTAAATAATATAGAGGAAGATTAAAGGTAGAGCCTTTGGTATCAAACCTTTTTTTTAAAATAATAAAGCCTCTGTGGTTGTGTGTGTGTACTGTTCACACTGGCTCCCACATGCTGAGGTTACACAAACAATCATGTGATTTCAGGCAAACTAGGACGGAAATCCTTTCTAAAATGTTGAAACGGCAGACGCAGATTTCTTTTCTTTTTTTTTTTTTAAACCCAATTTTTGAACTGGAAACTTGTTAGTGTGGATAAAGCCAGAGAGGGAGATCAATAGGAACTTCCAACCCCGCTGACATCACCGACCTTAAAGTCACGTCACGCTAAAGTCCAAACAGCCCTCTGACTCCTGACAGCGACACAGTCTTTACCGGCCGTCAGCTGTTTTTCATGTGTCACATCCTTTTTCTGTCACTTTCCATTCTGAAGTATAACACACTTTTACAAACACCTGGTGGTTTTGTTTCAGCTCGCAGAAACGTCCATTACGCGGCCTTCATGAAGACGAGCACTCGTTAGGTACAATGAAGTGTAATTTCCCCTCTTTAGGTAAAAAAATCATTATTGATGTCACAGTCGTGTTCTTTTTATCAAGATCAATGAGGGGAAGAGCTTTTTCACGGAAGCGTATCTGTCAGCAGCCAAAAAACAGATTTGTCTTGATTAAAAAGGGATCATTATAAACATGTCTTTTTATAATGATCCCGACTACTCGACAGGCTTTATTGATTCTGCTTGTGTCAGAATAAAACATCTGTACTGAAAGGGCCAGTAGCTCCCATGACCGTGGCTACATTTTTGTAATTGTTTATTATTGGTTGTCTTGGTTGGTTGTGTGTGTGTGCGTGTGCCGTATGAGACAGGAATGCTCGTAAACATCAGAAGGAAGCACAGCGTTTTGCGACCAGCCGAACAAGCGGCGTTGAGCCGGGATGGAAGCTAAGCTAGTCAGCTCGGACCTTTGGCACCACACGGCGGGCTAGTGTCTGGTCACAGTAAAAATAAGATTCAGACCCCCGACGGTGGCTGGAGCCTGACAAACCAGCGCGGGCCTGTCGGTGTGCGCAGTGAGACGAGCGCTCGTCTCCAACTGTCAGCATTGTGTCACTTCCTGGGTCTGAGAGGAAGTGGGTTTTACTGGTGTGAGTGTGATAGAGCGCACGCAGACGGAAAAAAAGCCCTGCTTTATAATGATCACAGAGAAGAAGCTTCTCAATGTATTTTGTCCAGTGAACGGAGAAAACATCAACGTTTGGAGAGCAATTAAAAGCTTTGACGCATTGTACCAGGATGGGGAAAACATTCCTGAGATAAACAATGATGTAAGAATAATGTAAAAGAACATCTGTCTGGTGCCTCTAGACACACAGACATTTTATAGACTCTTTTAAATGGAAGAAAAGTAATCAGTAGAATGAATTCATTGCCAAGTGGTGACGTTTATAGAGGTGCAGACAAATCAAGTGGAATATTTGAAAGGAAAAAATCCTATTTGTTTACAACCGCATTATAAAATCCCAATGTTCACTTGCAATGTTTCGCTGATTTAATATTCATTCTTACTTTGTCATGTTATCTTGCTATTAGCAAAGTAGCGCAGCTGAGGTGGCTGTGAATGTCATTTGGTCTTTGGTAATAGCTTTTGGTGATGTGTCTTTCTGCTTCAAGCCGCCTGATGTTGCTGCGTCAGTCGGTTCTTCAAGTGTTTCTGCATCGTCCTCCGTCTCCACTTCCTGTGTTTTGTTTCTGCTCTCCTGTAGTTTCTCGTTTGGTGCGTTCCCGCTGATCGATGCTGTGCAGTGTGTTTGGTCGGTGGGTTGCAGGGAGGCATTTTAGACCGTAGTGAATGACTGCAGCTTTTTGATGAAGATAAGTGCATTGTTTTAACTGTTTGTTCGGTCCAAGGCTCTTCATTTAAATAATAACCAATAACCCAAAAGACAGATAGCACTAAATACTCACGGCAACGATGTCAATGCCCCCTTTGGTCCTGCAGCGTTGACACTTGAAAACAGCCAATAAGCCTCGAATATGAGCAGCCTCCGAGTGTCCCTTGACCTACTTCCCAGCTTCCTGAGGAAGCGTCCTGAGTTTGTGGACAGCTTGTGTTAAGACGATAACTGCTGTGCTGTTGACTTGAGCGCTTTGACAGCATCCATTTAATTAAATTCTTCTTCGTTTTTAAACCTCTAGTATGCGTTGTGCTGTTTCTGTGACCTGCCGCGGCCTTTTGTTCTCCTTTGTCCTCTAAATTGCATCCAACACTAACGTTGACCTTTTGAGTGTTATGAAAACCAAACACATTATCTTGTATGTAATATATTATGTAGGAATAAGATGTAACTGTTGTTTTCAATCTTTTATTATATCCAGTCGATGTAGAACGGTGTAGAAAGTTGGTAGTTTCTAATATTATTATATGGCTTTGTGTTATGGTTTGGTTTGAATCTACGTTGGCCCCTAATGACATGAAAAGCGCGAGATGGTCTCCACGGGGGCGTGCAGCGCAGCGGCGGATGGGTAAAAACATTCTATCGCCCAGTTGGCACTCGCAGGTTTGCACTTAGTCACCTGGTCATTGGTCAGTCAAGTTAAGGTTAACCAACCCTCTTTTGCTAAGCCTAACTTTATTGCTTTCATTCTCCAAGCATAAAACTTAAAACCCGTAAAGTTTATTAAACATACGTGGACGCCGACCCTCGCATGGCTAAAGGTGCATGTAGAGAGTCTGTTACACTAAGGCCATTTATACAGCCTGTTTTCTTTCATCCTGCCAGTGACACATTCCACGGATGCCATTTGTAAAGTCAATGTTTGAAGGGTTTCCACAGATGGAACCCCACTTCAGCTGGACAACGTCCGCATGCAGTTTCACACAAACTGCTGTCCACGTGCTACGTGTGTCCTGGTATTAGACATGAATCAAAAGGACGTCGCACGCCAAACCGAAGGTCCAATACCCATCGAGGGAAGCACACATAGCGCTCCACCCCAACATTAGGCCAAACTTTCATCACGGTCCAGAGAGACTTAAACATCAATCTCTGCGTGATCAGCCGATGTGGTGCACATTCACCCAGAGGAAGTGGCGGATTTTGATGATTCATGTGAGCTTAGAGGACGGACGGGGAGAGGCTGCATCACAGATCCTCCTCTGCCACACGATTGGCTTCACACGCAGCACTCACCAACTCACTGCTGTTCCCCTTTCTTTGGTTTGTTTCCTCAAAATGACAGGAACCAGATTTACAGAAGTTTGTAAAACTATTGTGATTGTAGGTTATTTTTATGAGACACTAGTCCAAATTTGACAGATTTCCTACATTTTATTTATGGGAAGTCAGCAGAAAGAATAGCAACAGGCTCTCCCTGGTTCCATTCCTGCATAGCTTGTCTTTTCATTTTGATTTTGCTAACTGATGTGCTTTCCATATGATGTCTGAATATAGTATTTCACCATGAATCCATATGCCTTCTTTAAGTACGTTCCCTCCGGCTTGCATACATCACCTCTCCGCCTCCATCCAAAATGTGAAGCCCCCCAACGCATTGATGAGCCACATCTGCAAAACAAATCACTTCTCACTCGTTTGCTGGAGACCGAATCAGTGACTGCCGACCGGCCCGGTGGGAGCAGGCGGGGTGGGGGATGGAGGTAGAAGGCAGATGTGTTGAGAGAGCCTGGAGGAGGAGAGACGATAACAAGGTCTCTACCACAGCTCCACCATTACCAACGGACGTTATGCAGCCAGACGTATGATCAGTGATGCATGTTCTTCATTGTTCAGAGGGTGATTCAAGCCTCTGATCAAACACGCAGGTTAATCCTGAAAAGTACAGATCGAAACCAGGAGCCATGAAAAGATGACGGAAGCTGACTACCTCTATTAAAGCGTGTTTCTTTGCTCCACACAGAATGAGTAACTGGGGAGCCGTTGTTGTTGTTGCGTGGATTTCATTAACAGTCCCTCTCTCCGTAGAACCGGCCATGAGGACGGACAGCAGACCAGGGAAAAGCCGGAGAAGCCCATTGCAGACCCTCTACAAAGGAGACCAGGTGAAAACAGAAATAAATGTATTTGTTTATTTACGCTAATTAAAAGCTTGCTGTTAAACGTAACATTGCATTAGCGGAAAACTTGTGCAACCATTTTTCAAAATTTTTTTCTATTTCTTGCTTGTCTCGATCCGTGTCCTTTGTTCGCGTCCCTACGAAGCAGCCGGAGCTGTTGGCGGCTCAGAGGTCCCTCCAAGGTCGCAGGGAGCATTTGGAGCAGGGCTGTCTGAGCCACAAGAGGAAGCGCCAAGTGCTTTCGCCTGAGGATCTCAAACACCTCATCGTGGACGACAAACACGGCCTGATTTACTGCTACGTGCCCAAGGTTGGTTCCAATTGGCTCATTGAGTCCAGCTAAAATTCAGAATCAAATCGTTAGCTTGGACTCGTTACACGAAGACCACAAAATATTCTTATTCGGTTGACGTATTTATAAACTGGACTGCTGAGATGCACATTTCTTAAAGTGTGTATAAGCACCAGTTTTTATGAATGTATATTTTGGCTTAAAAGACAACCGTCTTCACCTTTTTTCCCTTGCAGGTCGCCTGCACCAACTGGAAGCGTGTCCTCATGGTCCTCACCAGCGATGGCCGCTACATCAACCCCCTCGCCATCCCTGCAAACGAGGCTCACGTAGCAGGGAACCTGCGCACGCTGTCAGAGTTCTCCGTGCCCGAGATCAATCGGCGCCTTCGCAGCTACCTCAAGTTCATCTTCGTGCGGGAGCCCTTTGAGCGCCTGGTGTCCGCCTACCGTAACAAGTTCACCCGTAGCTACAACACCGCCTTCCACAAGCGCTACGGGACCAAGATCATCCGCCGCAACCGGCCCGACCCGGAGCCCGAAGCCCTGGAGAAGGGGAGTGACGTGTCTTTCCCCGAGTTTGTCCAGTACCTGGTGGACCCCCGGACCCAACGGGAGGAGCCGTTTAACGAGCACTGGGAGCGGGTGCACTCGCTCTGCCACCCCTGCCTCATCCACTATGACCTAGTGGGGAAGTACGAGACTCTGGAGCCAGACGCTCAGGCCGTGCTGGAGTTGGCTGGAGTGCAGGGGACACTTCAGTTTCCCACATCTGGCAAAAGCACCAGAACGGACGGCAACATGGCGGCGCGCTTCTTCAAGCACATTAGTCCCTTCTACCAGAAGAAGCTGTTCAACCTGTATCGAATGGACTTCCTGCTCTTCAACTACTCCACTCCAGAGTACCTCCGGACTCGATGAGAGGCTGGGAGAAGAGGGGGTGATTCGGCACGTTTTGGTTGCCATCATTATCATTCATGCTCAGATCCATCGCAGCACTGACTTGTCACCCTGAGCTTGCCACAAAAACACCAAAAAGTGCCTTTAACATTTAACAGAATGCAGACAATGTGTTTGACAATGCAGTGGTCTCCGGGAAGATCCCGTGGGTTCACAAAGAACTATTTATTTTTTATTCAATTTTGACTTTGACGTAGTTTGCGGTCAGTCGTTGTTTTAGTGTAGCACACCTCGTCAGGTTTTCTGCCACGTCCACACAGTAAGTCTTCCTGTGGCTTGTTCTTGTTCTGGGAACTAATGCGCCATAAATTAAAGGAGCAGGTTCTCCTCTTGCATACGTGTTCTACAGGTAAAATGCAACAGCAGATTAAATCAAAGCACCTACAGTAGAATATCTGCATGGCCTTTATTTATGTATGTATTTATTGTTGGAGTGTGTAAGTAAAGGTTTACGCTTTCGACTTTGTGAAAGGGAATTCTATATGAATGAAGGGAGGCGTTTCTCTTTCCTTTTTCACCCCTCCACATGGAAAGTTACTTGCGCTGTTGGTTTTTGCACATAAACTCATTCCAAATAGAAAATATTAAATCCTGCCTTTAACCATAGCTCAGGAAACCGTTGCCTGGACTCGTCAACGCTTTCTTAAAAGTACATCTGAGAGTCTTTGCAGTAACTTCATAACTCCGGGTAAAGCGTGTTGCTTCCATCACTGTATTTAGCTGTGTGCAGGTGGGCTGAGCAAACAAGCACATAGCTGTGGTCAGCGCAGCACTGGCCCTGGTAAGAGCCCCCTTGTTAGTGTCGATGCTGCCACACGGAGGGTTCATCCACCTTGGGCATCGCCACTGCAGAGGAAAATGTTTAATATCCCTTTAACAGATCTCCTCACACAGGTTTAACATCTCCACGCGCGTTTACAGGTCTGCAAACCTGCAAAAGATCTGAGGAAGACTAAACGCTGGATGGAAATGAGCTAAAACAATTAGCCACAATAAATCACACGCACACACATATATAACACGAACGCACACATATCGCACACATATAACGGACACGCGCGCACACATATCTCGCACACATCACAACATGAACGCACACATATCACACACATAACACATAACGCACACATATCTCACACACGCACGTACACATCACATGAACGCACACATAACACGCACACACACAACGGGGACACGCGCACACACATATATAACACGTACGCACACGCACGCACACATAACACACGCACCCACACATATCACACATGCACACACATATAACACGTACGCACACACATCGCACACATATAACACGCACACATGTATAACAGGGACACGCGCACACACATCACACACATATATAACACGTACGCACACATATCACACACATGCACACACATATATAACAGGGACACGCACACACACATATATAACACGTACGCACACATATCTCACACACGCACGCGCGCACATGCACACACATAACACAACATGAACGCACATATATCACACGCAAGCACACATCACACACATGCACACATATAAC